TGATGTACCTTATAACGAGTCCTGTAGCATTCAGCTTTTGTCGTGCAGCTGCCGTAACTCAAGTTTCAAGTTTTGTTTATGTCACATTCACTAGAAAGAGTTGGCCCACAGTTTCTTAATCTTTCTTTTCTTTCTTCATAAGGCCGTGCTTCTTATGTAGCGAGCCAATTGTGATCAACATTTCCACAAGTTATATTAAGCACCTTCCAGCRAGTCTCGTAGCATTCAGCTTTTGTCATGCAGCTGCCTTAACTCAAGTTTCACGCAAATATTGTTAATCTTGCCACATGTTTTAGAGAAGTCGATTAATAATTATCGAAACGATCAATAGTTATCGAAATCGATAACAGTTATCGCAACGATCAATAGTTATCGAAATCGATAAATATTTATCGCAACGATCAATAGTTTAAGAAAACGATAAATATTTATCTAAATCGATAAATAGTTATCAAAATCGATAAATAGTTATCGAAATCGAGTATATTTATAGAAATTGATTGGTTGATGGCTTGATGTGTGATTGTTGGACTTATAGATTTAAAATGCTTTATGTCAGGGCTTACACAAGCTTCTTAGTATGAGTCTTGTAGCATTCAGCTTTTGTCATGCAGCTGCCCTAGCTCAAGTTTCAAGTATTGTTTTTGTCACATTCACCAGAAGAGTTGGCCCACAGTTTCTTAATCATTCATAAGGCTGTGCTCTTATGTAGCGAGCCAATTGTGATCAACATTTCCACAAGTTATATTAAGCACCTTCCAGCGAGTCTCGTAGCATTCAGCTTTTGTCATGCAGCTGCCTTAACTCAAGTTTCACGCAAATATTATCAATCTTGCCACATGTTTCAGAGAAGTCGATTAATAGTTATCGAAATCGATAAATAGTTATCGAANAAAAAAAAAGATAAATAAAAAAAATATATAATATATCGGTTTAGCATATATAGAATAGAAAATATAGTATTTAAAATTTTTTACAAAATAAATAATTATTATTGATATAATCTCTTAGGGAGATTCACCGATAGACAACTTCTGAGCCTCCACTTCGTCGCCGTTAGGTTTGCTGCGTGTAAAACGTTTGATTTCTTTAATTAACATTAAAATGTAAAAAAAAGAAAAAAAAATCCCTCCTGAATTTTAGATTTAAACTTCTCACATACCACTTATAGAAATGCCTTTCTTTTCAGTTCAATCTTAAGACTTACTTAAGTAAAACTAATTGAACTTGAAGTTATTTTACACTACAAAACTTAAAAGGCTATTCACATCAAACACAGTCACACCCCACACACACTCACACCACTCACACTCCGTCATACACACATTCTATTCCCTTGGAAACTTAAATGTTGGGTCTATTGAAAAGTGGTTTTTGGGTAATTAATAGTTCAGCCCCGTCGAACTTTTACACTTTGAACTGTCAGAAACTATATGCAAATTTCCATCACAAGTTTTCTTAGCATACCTTATTCTTCTTCTTCTTCCACGATATGTATAAAGAAAATTGGCTAACGCGTTGCAAATTGAATTTGTGCCGCATGCCACAAAATTCAGCTTGTTCGCCGCCGCATGTGGCATAATTACAGGACTCTCGCCTCATTTACACCAGTTGAAGCAAAGTCAATTAAACTCTTGAAATTCCATTTTACAATCGGTTTCAAATAGTTGCGGTTGCCTTTGTGCGATTGACAAGCCTGGATGGGAAGGAAAAACAAATGGAAAGTTGACGAAAAAATTCGTTTTGTTTTGTTTGTTTCTTTTCCGTTCTTCAACCCTTTGCTTCGTGCAGTGAAATATTTTTTCATAAAAGCTTGGCAAAACCCAGGCTATAATATTCATAATGATGACACACTTACCACATAAAAACCACACACCCACACACAGACACACACACGCACACACGCACGCACAACAACCATAGGAAACTACGTGCCAAACAAATGCTAACCAAAAGGGTTGGCCAAAGCTTTTGGCCATAGTCACAAAATGGCCACTAAAATGCACGCTAATGAGTTTCAATTACGAAGGCGCATAAAACAGAGGGTGGGCGTGGCAGAGGCCACTCGGCGCTTGTGAGCGGTTTTTTATTGATGGGCTGGCGTCGCTTCTGTTGTCAATTTGCGTGAATATTCCCAACGCTTTGATTGAAACTAAACGTTTGGTGAGCAGGCCTGAGATGGGATTGGGATTGAGATTGTGGTGGAGGAGTGTGGGCATGAATGCTGTGGGTGCTTGATTTTAATTAAATTCCCGTGCCCACAAAATGGGCTGCAGCTGAGCCCCGTGTCAACTTGTGCGGCTCATCACTTGTCGGTTTTGATTTTCTATTTTTTTTTTTTTGGTTTGTCTGCCGTAAACTTTTATGATTACAAGGCCACATGTTGCAAAGCATCTTCTAAATGATTATGGCGCGTCATACAGTTTAAATAATTAATGTTTAGACTGTAGTCGAAGTGMAGTGAAGTCGCGCTCCACAGCTAACAACAGTTGTAATAAAAACTGACCAGACTCCAAAAAGAAAGAGCGAAACTTGCAGACATTGTTGAATCGAGTGCATTTCAATTCCCAAAACGATTATAAACTACAGTCGAGCAGTTGTCGGAGTTGCCAGACCGTTTGCAAATTTAATTTACAACTAACACAAAAAGTAAAACCGCAACAACAACAACGCCAGCAATGTGAATGAAGAGATTTATAACTAAGAAATACCCTATAAATCAAAACTAAGAAATACCACAGAATTAAAATATCTTAAAAATATAAAAATATAAATATAAATATATAAATAGTCAATTTAAAGCTTAGAACTAATCCCCTTATAATAGGGTATTTAAATATATGAAATATGAAATATTTATATAAAACAAAATATATGTCAGGAAATTCAATTACATTCCAAAGTCATTAATCTATATTATATGCACATTACAGTTTATTAAGCAACAGAAAATATTACGGAATAAGTTACGAAAATTAAAAATAAAGAGACGAATTTTAATTACTAGAGTAAAAAGCTCCAATAAATTATTAAAAAATAGAAATTTACAAAATTTTGCATAGTGAAAGGTTAATATTATCCAATATCATCTGAGTGCATATTGCAGGGTATTTAGCAGTAATAAAAAAAGCCAAGAGTTTATATATAATATATATAATTTTTAGAATTTTTGCCTTATTCAAAAATATTATAAATTAAAATTTTGCAAGGTCTTACAGCAATTTTGCATACCCAGAATAGTCCTGCCCTGTGCTTTTTCTAGGGTATGAATCAGTCAGGTAAATAATAAAATAGAATGTTATTTATATTTATTTTAATTATACATATATTTCTTAAATCTCCAGCAACTGTCAGTCTACATCACAGCTAATATACCCGCTATATGATGAGCTTATAGGGCATTAACTATACAATAAAGTAATAAATTGAATTGAACAAAACAACTGCAACATTACTTAATTCGCTGACATTGCTAGTCCACTGCAGAGCTAATATAGCCCATCGTAAATTGTGTATTTTGCTAGGGTATTTAACAACACAACAAGCTAACAAGTGCCACAAAGGCATCCAGTGCCGCACTTTGGCCCAAACTTTTTACTTTGTTAAAGACCAACTCGAAATTGTGCTCGAACTTTTGCACTTGGACACCTCAGCGGCAACCAGAGAGAGAGAGAGAGAGAGAGAGAGGGGGAGAGAGAGGGAGGGAGCGAAGTGGCCCTCAAGACCCTTCAGGCTCCTACGCAGTGTAACCTCTGACCTCAACCCCGCACCGCCCTCTCCCACAAATTAGCCAGTACAGAGTGTGCACAGCAAATTATGTTTATTATTACTTTGGCACGCAATTTGGGCTATGCTCGGGCCAAGCGCATTTCCATTTTGGGAGCCACTCGGTAGTGCAACAATATGCAGACCTGGAACTGGTGCTGGAAATTTAAATTAATAAGCCAGAGTCCAGAATGCTGTTGCTGCTGCTGCTGCTCGATGAGCCTCGTTAAGCGTCTGCAGACTCTGAAGTTGGCTTCAATTTGGGCGAAGTTAGCTGCAAAGCAGCGCATTTCGAGCATCTTTGGCTCGCACTAAATTGCACTTTAATTGCACTTTAGTTGATGCCAGCCAAAAAGGCTACAAAACTTTGCCGTGTTCGTTCACGTAGCCGTGTCCATGTCCGTGTCCGTGTCCGTGTCCGGGCAAGTTTTTCGGGCACTCGACAGAGACAATGGTCTGCGAGACAGGAAATTGGTAATCATCATAAATAAGTGATTAAAATTAATTAAATTCATTTTTTTTTATTTTTACATTTTTTTTTTCTTTTTTTTTTTTTTTTTTTTTTTTTTTTCATTACATTTTTATTTTCTTTTTTTTTTTTTTTTTTTTTTTTAGCCCAACCGCTACATTGTATACTTTAATTTAAGACTTGTGTTTCTATCAATAGATTTATAGTTGCAAGAGATTTATAAATAGTAATAAAATTGCATTTAGTCATGCCGTTTCTTTCTCTCTTACTTTCGCTCTCACAGCCCATTGACTGCATTAGGCTAAGCCGACGCTCGTAGATCGAGAAACTTTGATTCGTGCTGAGAGTTAGAATAAAGTCTTAGACAAACCTCCCATGCAATGGTATTGAACCTTTTTGCATTTCGAGTGCCCTATACTATAATATATTCAGAGATATTATAATATTACATGTATCATGATAGAAAGAACTTTAGGCAATCCTCTATTTCTCTCGTCCAATACAAGGTACATATATCTGTAACCGGGTATACACTTTAGTACCTTCAAGTAAAATAATCACTAATTTTTTTTACTATTACATGTAACATGATAGATTTTTTCTTAGACAAAACCATTTTTATCTATTCCCATGCAAGCTATATATGTATACGGGTATATAATATTGGACCTTATTACATTTTGAGTGCCCAACAGTCACAGATTGTTTTAGCATTACATGTGTCATGAGAGATTTTCCCTCTATTCCAATAAAACATCTCTAAATCCGGGTATACACGCACATATACATATACATATTATTCATAAAATTTATACACAGAAAGGGAATACACAAATCAAGAATTGGCAACTTAAATTGTTAGCTGTTGAAAACAATGGCCAATATTAGCTGAGCTTCACTGTGGACAGCTTCAGTTTGAGTTCCATGGCCTCCACGTGATTGCCGTTGTGCTTGAGGCCGCGCAGCCATTTGACATAGTCGCCGGGTATGCCCGACTCCTCGGCACCCTTAACGAGCACTTTGAGGTATGTGTGCGAGGGCTGGCGATTCGATGGCACCTCAACGTCAGCCGCAGCCGCCGCCGCCTGTCCGTGCACAATTGTCTCCGGCTGATTGCTGAGGTGGTAGGCGCGGCAGATGATTTCCGAATTGGTGTTCAAGGATTGCACGGGCACGTTGATGGGTATGTAGAGGCCATCGGACACGCCTTCCTGACTATCAGGGGAGTTTAGCAAATTGTTAGTCTAAAGCCATTCCTTATATTTCTTTACCACTCATACCTATCCAAATCCTTGAGATTGCACATATCTATCTCCCAAATGGCCCCAAACACATCAGAGCCGGGCGTGGGCACAATTGTCGCCGGTGCTCCCAGCCAGGTATTCGAGCCGACCCCTTGGAAATCGAGGCGATAGTTCTGCAATGTTGCGTTTCAATATATATCGTTATCTATAGTAATGCCTGATCCACACTCACCTCCAGCTTGCCGGCGCCAATGCGTCGTGCCGTGGGATTCTGTATGTGTATGCGGCGGGCGAGCATATTGCTGCCGAAGCCAAAGTAGTAGAACTTATTGGCCATGTTGCAGCCTGGATTGTTGCAACGCTAAAAGCTGGCTGGTGTTGAATTTGTGTAACTGCAAAGAATTTGAAATTTACTAAACTTTGTGTGACATTTTCAAATTTGATCTACACTGAACAGAAACAGAAAATGAATTGGGGTTGAATTTTAGTTTCGAAAGGAATATGTGGAAATATGCTTGAAAAAGTCTGTAATGTCAAATTTGGATTTAAAGTTTGGCAGCCATTGGTAAGCATGGTGGTACACTGCTTACAGTCAGCGCAAGCAGTTCAACTGGTTGTTGACTTGGCTAAAGCCGGTTTATTGTTGCATTTATTTAATTAAATTATTTTTAGCAGAATTAAATGAATGGCATATGAAATCAATTACTTGATAATATTTAATTTATTAATTTTTATTTTTTTAATGACCATATTTTTCTGGTTTATTTCTATATTTTTGACTTTTCTTTTTATTCATAAATAACAGCTGGCTGCCGTTGAAAGCTTTTCTCTTATCGCAGCTTTTATTTCTATTGTAATTCAAACAGCTGATTTAATTTATGAGCAAAATTATGTTATTACTTACGTGTTCTTTGATTACCCTTAAATATGTATAGGCATTCGTCAATATATATATTTGCAATCTCCAACTAATTTATTAATATTTTAATTTACCAATTTGATTATTAAATTGCACTTTCTGCTACAAATAATTTGTTTACGCGTGGCTATCACAGCTGACCGCAAGCGACTGACTTTGACATTGAGAAAGCGAAAGCAAGCGGGTAAAGCTTTTAACACTATGCTACAAAAGTTTGTTACGCTTTCTGTGGGTTAAAATAATATGTTTGTGTAGTATGTTTAATTTAAAATTTCTAATAACAGCCATATTAAATATTTGCTTTACATTAAAAAAAATAAGTGAAGTATTTAATATTATATACAATTTTATTTAATATATTGTCTTTTATTATAAAAAAAGTATACGATATATATTTTTATATATTTTGTTGAATTATATATATATATATTACTAGTAACAAGAGATTTCTTTAATACTGATAAGAAAATTCAATTATGCTCATTTTACTGTTCACAGTTCTCATATAAATAATAACCCACATCGAATTCACCAACCAATAAGAATTGTGCACTTGGTTTGAGTATTAGCTAATGCGTGAGAACAGTTTGGTTAGTATCCATCCCACTTCTGAAGCAGTTCAGTGATTTTCACTGCAAACAGCCTTTAGCCAAGATCACAACCACATGGTTTGTTTATCGAATTCCAATACTTTATATTAACATTCTATAACTGTGATTAATTTACTGCAATATTTTCTACAATTTCACTGATTCCAACTCCAGAAACCGTTCCATATCCTTTGCCGTTTTATTATTGTGCTTAATCTGTTTCAGCCAATTGACATACTCCTGCGGAATTCCGCTCTCAATGGCACCCTTGACGAGCACCTGTAGATATGTCTTGGATGGCTTACGATCCTCAGGCACGACTGACTGCCCTGAGCCATGCACGTTGCCCTCGGGCTGCTTTACCAGCGCATAAGCTCTCGCAGCGATCTCTGTGCCATTCCCATGCAGCTTCACGTGCACTGTGATGGGTCTGTAGAGGTTCTCATGGACGCCCTCCTGACTGAGATGAAAATATGTGAAATATGAATGAGCATACATATCAATTGCTGCTGCTCGCGACTCACTTGTCTATGTCCGCCAAGTTGGTCAGCTCGATGTCCCACAGCGTGCCCCAGGTGAGCGCCTCCCTAGTCGGCACAATGGTAGCCACAGCGCCATTCCATCTGCTGTCCGCTATCGTTGCAAAGTCGAGTCGGTGCTCCGCCAGCGTGGCGGGCCCCACAAACTGAGCGCTGGGGTTCTGGATGTGAATGCGCTTGGCCAGCATGTTGCTGCCAAAGCCAAAGTAGTAGAACTTCTCATCGTGCACCTCGGCCATCTGCTGCCTCCCATCGACCTGTGCCCCGCGAGCCGCCACCAGCAGCAAGATCAACGCAATTTCTGTGTGCATTGCAATTGAATTATATATTGTTTACAATGCTGTCTCTATTCTATGCTATTGTGTTTTCTGATTGCCACTGACAACCTGCTCAAAGATCTGCTMAAAGTCGACTGTGCTCGTCTAAAGTTAAAACGTCATTTTCATTTTCTCATGAATTTTGGCGTAACGCTCTACTTATATTTATTTTTCATTCTTTGTTATGAATAAAAATGGACAATGAACACCTGAAGCTGCCTTACGCCGACTATTGAATGCCCTTGTCCAAATTTGTGTACTACTGTGCTATCAATTGTTCCAGTGGGAGAGAATACATATAAGATTTCTTATAGAAATAAGAAATAATAAATCA